GAGTATGTGTTCTTATTTAAGAAATGATTATTCTTAGTCTCTCATCTAGTTTCTCTGTTAAAATAAGAAGTAAATGTTAGATAGGTAAATAAATGGTAAAATGAAGTACTGGAGCCCCTTTGCAGAGAATCTATGGTAATTCCTTTTTAAATCAACTTCCAGATCTACTTTGAAAATTCAGAAATGTATAAAGTCAGTCTTTTTAAAGTAATGAATAATACTTTGCAATTTATAATATGCATAGTAAAATGTGAAATAGAAATAGCATGAATAATGTGAACCCAAAGATGCTCTAGTAACCTTATTTCATTTTTCTGCTCAATGAAGTACTTTTTAAGGCTACCTACAAATCAACTATGAAATGGCTGATGTGATTTTTGACTGATTTTTACTCCACTCAAGAACCAAAAGATTGGGACTGATATGGAGAGAAATATAATGGATTTACATACCCCATTAAATGGTTGTTAAATGCCTTAATTAGTTGAGAATTAATTGTATATTAACAGTTTTTAATAGAATTATAAAACTGTTTCCACAATTCTAAGATGTCATCAGTTGTAAAATGCACTCTTATTTTTTGTACCACTAAGAAAGAAAAAATGTGCCTCCAATTAAGCAATATGTCCTCAATTGCAAGATATATACCAATGGAAAAAAGTAATGTGTTTAGCTGGGTTACTTGCCCACTCCCTGAAAAACAAATCAAAGTTTTATTAGTAAGGGAAAATGGGAGAATGGATTAAGTGGTAGTCATCAGGCTTACCATAATTATCATCACTTCATTTCAGAATCATTATAAATCTCTAAAATGTCCATGTTACTTAAAGTATACTATAGCAAAACATAGAGACTTATTAAAAATGGTGCCTTTGGAATCTCAAGGAAGTCCCTTGTCAACCTACTCCTTACACACCTGCAACTTACTTATTTTAATTGTTACTGCCTCTTTTCTATATCTTGTTTTTGGGCTATCATTTTTTATCTTTTTAATCAATAAATCTAATAATTTGATGCAATCAAATACTTCTTTTCTAAAGTTTGACTTTCAGTTAAGCATTTCACCCAAAATGCTACAAGGTAGTCTTTAAATTCAAATTAATTTTTTCAGTTTCTTGGGGACCAAGGTGGTTGTTGATAGAACTTAGGGAGTCTAATAACTTGAACACATTTTGGCACCTTGAAAAAAATCATGGAATTCATTCTAGCATCTCTTCCAAAGAGTATAATGGCTCCCTTTAGATCTTTTTTGACAAAAACTTTATCTTAACAGGTTTTCAGAAATGAAATGAATTCTTACTTCTTCAATTTTATATATACTGGTGATAGAAAATTGTTTGGTACCTTCTTAGATAAATATCAGTGGACTATTTTTCAAATCTGACTAACTAATGTCTTTTGACATTTCTCATTGTACTTCGCGTATATAGTAATGTTCTGTCTTCTGTATCTGTAAGGAATGGACCTGACATTCAAAGTTCTGCATAGAGCACAGGAGTAAGGATTTTAAAACAACCGTGTTAAACCTTTGATACCCCTGAAAGAGCACCTGAAGAATCACTCTCTGTCTTTAATAAATCATGGTTAAAAACTATAGGTGGATAAGCTTTGACTATATTTTAATGTTTATGAATATGATTAAGACTGCCACGCTTTGTACAGGCCCACAAAATAATCCTAAATTTGTTAGTGCTTCCATTTCTTTTTTGAATACAGAAATTCTAAAAATTACTTGTGGAATGTCTGGTGTTTGGGGGATGATGTCAGAAGTGAATCTGTTCCGTTGGTCTCAGCCCCACATCAGACTCATCAGATGAGTCCTGTCATACGCATTTCTTTTCCTTTTTTTGCACATCTACTTTTGTTTCTTCCTAAGTGCCCGATAATGTAAGGAAGCTAATTCTAGTTGCCTTATAGAGCTTTAAGACTGTAAAGGAGACTTAGCATTCATATTACTTTGCATAAAGGTGCTTGTGAAAATTGAAAAACTTGGCAGGCTTTGGAAGACAGTTATATAACGTTAAGTATTTTCTCTGATTGATCATTTTCATATGGATTAACATGAGATTTCCAGTAGATATTTTCAATTGAATAAAAATGGCAATAAAATAAATTACTAAAGAAGTGACTACAGTGCATATATATGTATATTATTTATGTGTATAGTATATATGTATAAACTTACAAATGCTGTTCTTTTACTTATAGCTATCATAACATGATCCTAGTTCTGTATCTCCTTAACTATTTTTATTTTTATTTTTTTTAGAACACTGATATTTGCATTTAATGGGGAACAAAAGATGAAGAAGGAAAAGCAATATATTCACTAAGGATTATATCTGCTTACTGCTACAGACCTGTGTTTTAAGGGATTCTTCTGCTCCTTTTTGCTTAGAAGTTGATCAGCTCTGTGGTCAGACAGCATTGGAGTTTGCCTGCCTTTATCTTGTCATTGCCAGAAGAAATCCCGGAATGTGACAGTACATCTCTATCTGATTGCTATGGAAGGTGATAAACTGACACTCACTTATTAAAGTTACACCTCATTCACTCATACAAAACCATTCTTTAAAGTGAATAAAAACCAAGCCCTTGTGAACACTTCTATTGAACATGACTCATGGAGAAGAGCTTGGCTCTGATGTGCACCAGGATTCTATTGTTTTAACTTACCTAGAAGGATTACTAATGCATCAGGCAGCAGGGGGATCAGGCACTGCCGTTGACAAAAAGTCTGCTGGGCATAATGAAGAAGATCAGAACATTTCTGGCAGTGTGTTTCCCACCTGTCAAAGTAATGGTCCAGTTCTCAATACACACACATACCAGGGATCTGGCATGCTGCATCTCAAAAAAGCCAGACTGTTGCAGTCTTCTGAGGACTGGAATGCAGCAAAGCGGAAGAGGCTGTCTGATTCTATCGTAAATTTAAACGTAAAGAAGGAAGCTTTGCTGGCTGGCATGGTTGACAATGTGCCTAAAGGCAAACAGGATAGCACATTACTGGCCTCTTTGCTTCAGTCATTCAGCTCTAGGCTGCAGACTGTTGCTCTGTCACAACAAATTAGGCAGAGCCTCAAGGAGCAAGGATATTCCCTCAGTCATGATTCTTTAAAAGTGGAGAAGGATTTAAGGTGCTATGGTGTTGCATCAAGTCACTTAAAAACTCTGTTGAAGAAAAGTAAAGCTAAAGATCAAAAGCCCGATACCAGTCTTCCTGACGTAACTAAAAATCTCATCAGAGATAGGTTTGTAGAGTCACCTCACCATGTTGGACAAAGTGGAACAAAGGTCGTGAGTGAACCCTTGTCATGTGCTGCAAGATTACAGGCTGTTGCAAGCATGGTGGAAAAAAGGGCTAGTCCTGCCACCTCCCCTAAACCTAGTGTTGCTTGTAGCCAATTAGCATTACTCCTTTCAAGTGAAGCCCATTTGCAGCAATATTCTCGGGAACATGCTTTAAAAACACAAAATGCAAATCAAGCAGCAAGTGAAAGACTTGCTGCTATGGCCAGATTGCAAGAAAATGGGCAGAAGGATGTTGGCAGTTTCCAGCTCTCAAAAGGAATGTCAGGCCATCTTAATGGTCAGGCGAGAACATCATCAAGCAGACTAATGGCCAGCAAAAGCAATGCTACAACATTTCAAAACCCAGTGGGTATTGTCCCTTCCTCTCCCAAAAATGCAGGCTATAAGAACTCACTGGAAAAAAACAATATAAAACAAGCTGCTAATAATAGTTTGCTTTTACATCTTCTTAAAAGCCAGACTATACCTAAGCCAATGAATGGACACAGTCATAGTGAGAGAGGAAGCATTTTTGAGGATAGTAGTACACCTACAACTGTTGATGAATATTCCGATAACAATCCCAGCTTCACAGATGACAGCAGCGGTGATGAAAGTTCCTATTCCAACTGTGTTCCCATAGACTTGTCTTGCAAACACCGAATCGAAAAACCAGAATCTGACCAACCTGTTTCTCTAGATAACTTAACTCAGTCCTTGCTAAATACTTGGGATCCAAAAGTCCCAGATGTAGATATCAAAGAAGATCAAGATACCTCAAAGAATTCTAAGCTAAATTCACACCAGAAAGTAACACTTCTTCAATTGCTACTAGGCCACAAGAATGAAGGAAATGTTGAAAAAAATGCCAGCCCTCAGGGAGTACACGGCGATGTGACAAAGTTCAATACACAAAATTATACAAGGACTTCCGTAATAGAAAGCCCCAGTGCAAATCGGACTACTCCAGTGAGCACTCCACCATTACTTACATCAGCCAAAGCAGAGTCTCCCATCAATCTCTCTCAGCACTCTCTGGTTATCAAGTGGAATTCCCCACCATATGCCTGCAGTACTCAGTCTGAAAAGCCAATGAATACTGCATCTAACCATTCAATGGACCTTACCAAAAGCAAAGAATCGCAAGGAGAGAAACCAGCCCAAAATGAAGGTGCACAAAACTCTGCAACTTTTAGTGCCAGTAAGCTGTTACAAAATTTAGCGCAATGTGGCATGCAGTCTTCCATGTCAGTGGAAGAGCAGAGACCCAGCAAACAGCTGTTAAATGTAAACACAGATAAACCTGTAGGTATGATTGATAGATTAAATAGCCCTCTGCTCTCAAATAAAACAAATGCAGTTGAAGAAAATAAAGCATTCAGTAGTCAACCAACAGGTCCTGAACCAGGACTTTCTGGTTCTGAAATAGAAAATCTGCTTGAAAGACGTACTGTCCTCCAGTTGCTCCTGGGAAACCCCAACAAAGGTAAGAGTGAAAAGAAAGAGAAAATTCCTTTAAGAGATGAAAGCACTCAGGAACATACAGATAGAGCTTTAAGTGAACAAATACTGATGGTGAAAATAAAATCCGAGCCTTGTGATGACTTACATATTCATAATACAAATGTACACTTGGGCCATGACGCTAAGAGTGCCCCATTCTTAAGTATGGCTCCTACTGTGCAGAGAAGCACAGCTGCCTTACCAGTGTCTGAGGACTTTAAATCAGAGCCTGTTTCACCTCAGGATTTTTCTTTCTCAAAGAATGGTCTGTTAAGTCGATTGCTGAGACAAAATCAAGAGAGTTACCTGGCAGATGATTCAGACAGGAGTCACAGAAATAATGAACTGACACTTCTAGAATCAAAGAATCTTTGCATGGTCCCTAAGAAGAGGAAGCTTTATACTGAGCCATTAGAAAATCCATTTAAAAAGATGAAAAATAACATTGTTGATGTTGCAAACAATTCCAGTGCTCCAGAAGTACTGTATGGGCCCTTGCTTAACCAGGAAGAGCTGAAATTTGGCAGAAATGATCTTGAATTTAAATATCCTGCTGGTCATGGTTCAGCCAGTGAAAATGAACATAGGAGTTGGGCCAGAGAGAGCAAAAGCTTCAATGTTCTGAAACAGCTGCTTCTCTCAGAGAATTGTGTGCGAGATTTGTCCCCGCACAGAAGTAACTCTGTCATCGACAGTAAAAAGAAAGGACACAGAAATAATGTGACCAATAGCAAACCTGAATTCAGCTTTTCTTCTTTAAATGGACTGATGTACAGTTCCACTCAGCCCAACAATGTCATGGATAACAGGACATTTTCATACCCAGGAGTATTAAAAACTCCCATGAGTCCTCCTTTCCCCGAGCACTTGGGCTGTGCGGGGTCTAGACCAGAACCCGGGCATTTAAATGGGTGTTCCGTGCCCAGTGAGAAAGGACCCATTAAGTGGGTTATCACAGATGTGGATAAGAATGAGTATGAAAAAGACTCTCCAAGACTGACCAAAACTAACCCAATACTGTATTATATGCTCCAGAAAGGAGGCAATTCTGTTACCAGTCGAGAAACACGGGACAGGGACATTTGGAGGGAGCCTTCATCTGCCGAAAGTGTCTCACAGGTTACAATCAAAGAAGAGATAGTTCCTGCTGCAGAAACTAAAGCTTCTTTCTTTAATTTAAGAAGCCCTTACAATAGCCATATGGGAAATAATGCTTCTCGCCCACACAGCGCAAATGGAGAAGTTTATGGACTTCTGGGAAATGTGCTAACAATAAAAAAAGAATCAGAATAAAATGTACCTGCCATCCAGCTTTGGATCTTTTTAAAACTAATTAGTATGAACTTGAGATCTGTATAAATAAGAGCATGATTTGAGAAAAGCATGGTATAATTGAAACTTTTTTCATTTTGAAAAGTATTGGTTACTGGTGATGTTTAAATATGCATACTGATTTTTGCTTAACATTAGATGTCATGAGGAAACTACTGAACTAGCAATTGGTTGTTTAACACTTCTGTATGCATCAGACAACTGTGAGTAGCCTATGAATGAAATTCTTTTATAATC